ACTTACTGGGTATCTGGGTATCTGGGTATCTGGGTATAATAATGTATTGTGATGATGTAATGGTATGATATATTGTGACGATGATATATTGTGATGATATGATGGTGTAATGGTGTAATGGAGTGGTGGTTTGATGGAGTACCCGGTGATGGGACTGATAGAGACTGATGTGTGGGTTTCGGGGGAATGGGGAGGAATGGGCAAGAATAATAGGGAAATGGGAAGAGAGAGGAGAGAGGAAAGGGAAAAGGTAAGAGGGAACCTGGGATTTCTTTTTTTATATGGAAGGGGTGGTACGGATGGTACGGACGGTACGGATGGTATGGCGTGGATGGATGGATGTTGGATGGAAGGTTGGGAGGGAGGAAGGGAGGGAGGAAGGGAGGATGGAAGGGAGGATGGAAGGAAGGGAGGGAGGGAGGAAGGGAGGGTTTGATGGATGGTGATGATGATGATGATGGCGAGCGCTGGGCTGGATTACTGTATTGTATTGTATTGTACATCCATCCATCGTGCAGTGAAGGGGAGGGGAGGAGAGGCTTAAAAGTTAAATAGTGTTTGGGTTCGTTTGGAGTGGTTTCGTTTCGTTTCGTGTAGTTTGGTTTGGAGTCCAATATATATAAGTGTTTGATATAATATCAGTATCGCATGGTATGGTGCAAAATCATTTATGTATGTATGCATGTATGCATGTCATGGTTTGATGAATGGTATGTAGTAATTACCTATGTTAGTCTAGATATAGATCTAGATAAAAAAAATTGGTTCGGATAGACTGGTTCGGTTCGGTTCGATTCGGGGTTTTTATGGGCAGTACGGTACGGTATAGTTATTTGGGGGGATAGGGGGTTAATGCAGTGTATCGGTAGGTAACGTTAGCTACCTATAGTAAGCTAGCTGCTCTTAGCTGGGTAGCTAGATACATATGTCCTTCCTCTACTCTAGATTAGGACGGATGGGTGGATGGATGGATGGATGGATGAATTTTTTCTGAGGTGGGGATCATGATGATGATGATGCGGATGCGGATGCGGATAAGATATAATAAGAAAAGTACTGATTCGCGAAGAAGGAGAAGGAAGAAATCCATAATATAGTGTACATGTAATATAATGTAATGTAATGTAATATAGCATTGAGTGAGAAAGAATATTGAGGGAAAGGCTCGCGCCCGGGCCCCCTTTCTTTGAGAGAGAGAATTGAGTTTTGAGTTCGCTTAAGGTTCCAGGTTGTTTGGAATGAGATTTGGGATCCTTGGCATTTCCTGTGGGAGGATTTGTATTTGGATTTGGATTTTTGTTTTTATGATGAGGTTGTAAAATTGTAAAATGGCTAAATCGAGAGAGAGAAGGGGGGGGAGGGGGAGGGGGAGAGAGAGAGATTCGCAGGCTTGGTATTGGGGTTGAATGAACGAACGGAGGATTGGAATTTGGGAATTTGGGAGTTTAGGCCGCAGATAAACCATGATTCGGACTATTGTAGAGATTTTGGCCTAGGTGGGTAGGTAGGTAGGTAGGTAGATAAAATAATTGGAAATCTCAATCATCCATTGCAGGTGGCAGATTCCGCACCTAGAATATCAAATACCAAATAGAATGAATGAATCAGCATGATATTCGTCGGTTTGGAAATTTACCGAATTGAATGAATGCCAAGACGGCGAATATCTCTCGAGATTAAGTATACTTACAATAAGGGATAGCAAATAACGTTCACTCTAGACACTACCTAGGTAGTAGTACATAAACCTCGAATGTTTAGCGTTGAGAAGAATGAAACCCCTTCCAAAAAAAATTACCTTATTTTTCTCGCTTCTAGATTGTTACGAAAATTCCACCGAGCGCAAAATTATCAGATGAGATGATGTTATGCGTGGGGACAGGGGTGGGCGGACGTGAGAATTCATGCACGATTCCTTGGGTGCCGGATGGGGGATATGCAAATTGCAGTTGCATCAATGAATGCGAGAGGGAAACGGGGAAGACGGGGAAGACCTGGCTCTTTCTCACGTGTCGGTTAGGAGATTCTCGCGGAGGATAATGGGTATCGAAAGTTCTATCGTGCGACTGCAGGATTGCGAGCATGAAGCATGAGAAGTTAATTTCTGGTGGATATGAAGTGGGATTGGAAATTGGGTTGGTTTTGCGGTTTGGGTCGTTTGGGCAAGGGAGAAGTGAGATGAGGAGGTTGGGATGCGCATGTTGAGGTTGGTGGACTGGATGGGTGGGCGATGACGAGACGGCTTTTGGAGGTTCTTATGAAGGGGGAAGTTCGCACTCTTCTTTTTTTTGAGTACCTGTCATTACTGAAGATTACTTTGAGATATACACGGTCTCCTCACTTTCTTTTAAACTTCAACCTTCGTTATTGTTGTTATCTGCTTCTACGATCTTCCAACCCATCTTCCAAGCAGACACGCACGCATCAATCTCAATCCCACAATACACCGAAGCACCTCTGCTCCGGGCCTCGCGAAATTTTTCAAAATCTTTCACTCACACCCCCGTCAAAGACCGTACATCACCAGTCGTCTTCTCTTCATCCGTCCCCGCAGTTTCAGATCAAGAACCAATTCCAACATGTCTTCCACACCAACAACAGCGGCACCCACAGCTGCACCCATTCCCGCCCCAACCAATACCGTCAATCCTCTTCCCGCCACCCCTGCCGAAGCAGCTGCCACTACAGCCGTAGATACGCAGGCGCCAACCGAAGATGCACCCGCATCTAAGAGTGCGAAAAAGGCCGAGGAGGCGAAGAAAAAGTGCATGAGTGCGAGAAAGGATTGGTATGATTGCAAAGTGCATTTTGCAGCTGGAGTGCAGGGGCTCAGAGAGGGAGGAAAGTGTGTTGGACGGGTTGTGAAGGCCGGTCCGAGTTTGGCATTGGAGCATGTTAAGAAGAGCAAGGGGGGTGGCGCGAAGGCCGTGGATAGCAACAGTACGGGTGAGGGTTTGGTGGTGGAAAAGGAGAAAGAGGGTGGTAATGCTAGCCGTATTCGAGACGGTGTCAAGGCAAAGGTTGTAGGGTTGAAGGAGAAACTCTTGGAATTGAAGGAAAAGAGGCAGGTGGGAAAGAAGGCCAAGGCTGATGAGAAAGATGGCGCTGCAACTGAAGCTGCAACAGAGGCAGTTGTCACTCCGGTAGCTGTTGGCACGGCACCAACCCCAGAACCAAGCAAAAAAGAGAAGAAGAGAATGACGCTGGATCAGGTGAGAGAGAGAATCCTTTATTATCAATCACGTTTTGCCGAAGGTCTCATCGCAGAAGAAAATGATGAAGAGGTGATGGTTGGGCCTCGAATTGCAGGTTGGATGACCTATTTTTTACCCTTTCACATTCTTCTCTTCGCTCTCACATTACCTTCTTTTACATTCGAATTTGCATTTAAAGTATTAGATGAAAATGAAGAATGACGATGAAGATGAAGATGAAGACGAAGATGAAGATCCCAACGAAAGCGCAAACGCAAATGAACCAAGCTAATTTTTTTGATTTTTCCGCAACTAGAGAATCCAACAAGAAGAAGCCAAAGCGCGTCAGGAATCCACCACCTCCCAGTCCCAAATCCCAACCCGAGCCCAGTTGTCGCCGCCCGGTTCCCCTATGGAGAGCACCATGGAACCGATTCGCGAGGACAGGGAGTCGTCACCACCGCCCCCCGCAGCACCAGCGCCAGCGTCGGGGAAATCGGCAGAGGGAGCATCGACTGCGCCAACGGCGAGCGGGGGATTGTGAGTGGGAGTAGTGGGAGTAGTGGGGGAGGAGTCGGGGAAGCGGGGTTGAAGGCCAGAGTGGCATATATGATTAGAGGGAGAGCCAGATTGACCGGTCATGATAAAGTTACAGATACCGACTCTCCCTCTACCAACGAGAAGAAGCAAAAGAAAAAGAAAACGCAAGCTCCAACCGGAGCTCCAAATAAAAAACCCACAAACACAAGTATGAAAGAGCGCATCATCGGACATTTCAAAGCACATACATTGAAGAGCAAATCCGAAAAATCACACGAAAATGATAATCCTCCGAGTCCTTTTGATAAACAGGGAAGGCTCGCCATGCTGCGTCTTCGTACGAATCTCTATATTTCGAAAGTTAAAGATGTGGCGAGTAATGCGATAGGGAGGGTAGCGGGTTTGATCGTGGACTTTTTGGCGTGGGTTAGTGGGGTGGGGGGGAGGTTTGGGGGGAAAAGGGGGAAGAAGGGAGGGAAGAAAGTTAG